ATCCTCTGCTGCTGGATCTCTGGACTGATGATCATCATCACACCCCTTGGTATGGGCCTCCAGCTGGAATTCTGTGACTCCAATGATATTGATCATTTTGGCTGTGATGCATCTCCTCTCTTTAAGATTTCATGCTCAGATACTTGGTTTATAGAACAGATGGTTATAATCTGCGCAGTGTTGATATTCATTATTACACTGATAGGTGTCATTCTTTCCTACACATTTATCATCAGGACAATTCTAAGATTTCCTTCTGCTTCTCAAAGGAAAAAAGTTTTCTCTACCTGTTCTTCTCACATAATTGTTGTTACCATCACATATAGCAGCTGTATTTTCATCTACGTCAAGCCGTCAGCCAAAGAAGAAGTGGACATCAATAAAGGAGTATCGGTGCTCACCACATCTGTTGCCCCTTTGTTGAACCCTTTCATTTATACTTTGAGGAACAAGCAAGTGAAACAAGCTTTCAGTGACATGATCAAAAAAATTGCACTTATTTTACACAAGTAAGAACACATGGAATTTGAAAAATCAATGAGAGCAATGACTTGTTCCATAGCATTTTTTTCCCCTGGAAGTCCTAACTAGTTCACTAAGGTTAACTAACCTCAAAATCACTTAAATCTTGGTTTGTGAACCTACTTGAAACAAATAATTTCTTTCTCTCTTTAATCTCAATCAAAACTATTTCCTCCATTAAAGGAACACGAGAATTTGTTTACAAAAAATAAAATCTTCTCTCACCTCTCACTAAGTTTTTCTTTATTATTCAAAAAGAAATTACATAACATATTAAATATAGTGTCTGTGGGTACATGAACTTTTAGATCAATACTTTTTCTAAACTCTTTTAATTTGCACATATAAATGTACCAAAAGAAACATGTGAAATATAGGAAAAAATATATCATCTTTTTTTAAAGATATTAATAAGATAAGCTTTAAAATAAACTCAAAATGGGCATATTAAGTAAAATTGAAATATAATCAAAGTAAGAAAATAAATACCAGGAATGTGGAAACAAATATGATACACAAAAGATATAAGGAAACCAAAATATTTAGATTTTCTTCAAGAAACAGAAAAATTTAGACCACAACTGCTTGACAATAACATGCGAACACTCATACATGCATGCACAAGCACAGAGAATGAAACAAGATTTTAAAAAGAGGACTTTTATGGGGCGCCTGGGTGGCTCAGTGGGTTAAGCCTCTGCCTTCGGCTCAGGTCATGATCTCAGGGTCATGGGATTGAGCCCCGTGTTGGGTTCTGCTCGGTGGGAAGCCTGCTTCCCCCTCTCTCTCTGCCTGCCTCTCTGTTTACTTGTGATCTCTGTCTGTCAAATAAATAAATAAAATCTTTTTTAAAAAAGAAAAAAAAGAGGACTTTTGCTTCCAGCTGTGTCAGCATAATTAATTTGAGCCCATGTTTTCTGCTTTAAATCATCATAAAACTGAATCAACTTTAAGAAGAAATTTGACAACAAGAAGCTCAAAACCAGGTCTTTCTATAAAAGGAAAAGTCAAAAAAATATGTCCACAATTAGCACTTGCTCAGTCCACAGTATGAGATAGAGACTAAGCTCAAAATGATTGTCTCTCCAACTTGAGTTGGCAAAGATCAAGTCAGCTGCACTGGTCAGTAAGCTCAGGTCAGTGCTGTATTGAGCTGGGATATGCGCAGATGTTATTCATTTATGCCTTGGCTGAGGAATTGACTGAACACTTGCAGGTTTACCAGTGAGAAAACTGAGAGTTCAACAGAGATAGTAGAGGCCAACCAATCTTCAGCCTTGCAATTTGGACCCAGCAAAAGAGAAGAGACCTGGTTAACATCTCTTCAAACCACAGCCTTCTAGCTAAACAGCAGGAAAACCCTTAGGAGTACCTTAGGAGTAAGGACTACATTATAGAACAAGAGTCAGAAAATTAAGGTCTGAGGGTAAAATCTATCTACCATTGGTTGAAGTAAATGAAGTTTTATTGAAACACGCCCATTCCCACTCATCTCCATATTGTCTATGGCTGCTTTTAATGTCAGAGTTGAGTAGCTTAATAGAGACCTCACGGTCCAAAAAGCCAAAAACATTTACTATATAGCCTTTTACCAAAAAAGTTTGCTCATCTCTGGTGTAGAATTTACTTTTACATTTTTACAGTTTTGTATCATTTGGGAAGAAATAATGAGAGGCAAGTTGCTAAACAGATACATTGTCTTCATCCACCAAGATGTCTCCAGAAAGTAATTTTTAATCTTGGCCAGCCTGAAGAATTGAATTAGTCCATCCCTCTACAATCTTCTCTTTTGTCCATGACTATACTTCAAAACAGAATTTGAAAGAATGAAAATTTGGGGAAGCCTGTCTATTCTGTCCACCTAGATCTCACACTAACTCAAGTTAAAACCACATCAGCGTTTTATAACAAATCGGGAATTCACTTGTCATTTAATAGAAAATTTTGTTCACCCTACCAATTCCTATAAGTCTCAAATCTCACCTCAACTGTTGGAAAAATACTTTACTACCAAATCCCAAAATTGTATATGTGCAATTCAAAATCAAGCCACAGTAGTATATTTCCTAGGGCTACTGATTTTGAAGTAAGGCCATCCATGTGATTTGTCCATCATTTGGCTTAAGTATGTGCCTTAAGTGTAAGGCACCCTGGCTAAATTTGGATAGACTCTCAAGTGCTGTTTGGCTGAGTCATTCCAACTACAGCTTACCCAGCAACCATATAAAAGTAGCCTAATATGGCCGAAGCCACATTAATTGAACAGACCATCCAAGATAAAAATTATTGAGACTAGTTCTTCTTAAATACTACTGGAAGTTTTAACTGTTTTTTAAATCGAGCACATTTACTAATCCTTAAGTTGTATCTTGTCTCATATATATAAAAAAATCTGTTTTATCCTAGGAATTTAGATATTGGAACTGTTTCAAAATTAAAATAAAATTCAATATTATAGTCTGAAAATTAAGATTATTTAAAGCTGACATTTGATTGTCCCTCTTTAACAAAATATTAACATTTCTAATTTTATACTTTATAAACCAAAATAGATAATAGCACATATTTGTTATATACATTGACCTTTATTTAGTGGTTTAAAGTAGCCAGTTTATGGTATGAACACTAAAAAAGAGGGGAATATCCAACTAATCTGTTCATAAAGACTACTTGGAAACTTTATTAATCAAAAAGGTTCAGATTGAAAGATATGAATTGACTGGTTATATTTATTACACATGGTTTATTTTTGCTTGTTTTTAAACAGGTAGGTGTTTAGAACTTTTGGTTGCTAATGAGTGAGGAACTAAATACAGATAAATTCCTGTTCTCTGGTTTGTAAATTAATCTAACATTCTTTTTTAATATAGAGGAAAACACCCATTGTACTATGCAAATTAAAGTAGAATTTAATACAAGACCATACTGGCTGTTAAGAATATAAAATGTTAAATCACTAAATTGTACACCTGAAACTAATATCACACTGTATGTTAACTAATTGGAATTTAAATAAAAACTAAGAAGAAAGAAAAAGGAAGGAAGGAAGGAAGGAAGGAAGGAAGGAAGGAAGGAAGAAAGAGTATAACATAAAGATTTGTTCAAAGAGTAAAATTCTTAGTTTTTTCTGGTACCCTAAGATTCACCAAACCCATTGAAATCCATCAGGTAATTCTTCATAAAAAGATCTGACAATTTAGGCACATAAAAAAGTCATAAGATCATACCAAAAAAAAATAAGAAAAGAGAGAAATACAATTATTTTTATGGAAAACAATTTATTATTATAAACAGTGTAGGATTCCTGATTAATAGCTGGAGAAAATGATGCTATACATCTAAAGCATAAGTGCAATAGGATTTAAACACTGGAACAGAGATATAGTGGCAAATTATATAACTGGGGATAAATGTATTTCAAATTATTACCTCAAAAGAAAAGAAATCCTCTTCATCTGAAAATACATTATATTTCCCACTCCTAGGATTTATGTTTCCAATTCATTTGAAAATAGAACTAGCAAGGTGAGCTAAAAACAGTTGATAAAAAAATGTTTCTATTCATTAAGAAGATATAATATTTCTGAATTTTGTACACTTTATCATATAACCTGAGAATATAAAAGTCATATAGAACAAAAAGGAAAAATGGAAAAATCCATAATCATAGTGGGTGATTTTAACATTTTATCTCAGCATTGCATAGAGCAAACTGACCTAAGCATCAGTATGCTACAGAAGTCTAAACAACTCATGCACCAAAGTAGACCTAATCATCAGAATGAAATAGTGTACAAAAAACCCTGAAAACGGCACACTAATTTTAAAAGAAAAAGTGTTTATAAAATTGAAGTTATGAGTAAGCTATCAATATGAAGATACACTGAAAATCTCAAATATATTCAGAAACTAAATAGCATACACCTAAAAAGGCTTTCTATAAAAAAGGAATTCAAAATGGAAATTAGAAAATATTTTGTATTCTATTATATGAAAATATTACATCCCAAAGCCTGTATGATACAGATAAATGTGTACTTGGAAAGAAATATATAGTTTAAGTATTTGTATTTTAAAAAGAAGAAACACTAAAATCAGTGATATAAATATCCATTTCAAGAAATAAGAAAAAGTACAAATTAAACCAAAAAATGTGGAAGAGTGTATAACAGCAAAAACTAAATATATGGAAATAATTTTTCAGTAAAGGAAATCACTAATACCAAGGGGTTGAGAAGAATTCTTATTCTGATGTTTTGGGTTTGAGTGTTCTAGATTTGAGTATTAAGTATGATTGCTTTATAAGGCTTTTTTTTTTTATCCTTGTTTACCTTTAACCTAGTTGCTCTATCCATTTGTGAAAATAGAGTACTGAAGTCTCCAATTATTATTGTTGAAGTGTCTATTCCTCTATTCATTTGTCAGTTTTTGCTTTATGTATTTCGGAGCTCTGTTGTTAGGTTCATATACGTTTTAAATTTATCTTTTTCACTCTTTCACTTTCAATTTATTTATGTTTTTGAATCTATTATGTATCTTCTGTATACAGTATATAGTGGTTCTTTTTTTTATTACTCCAGACTGAAATCCTCTGCCTTTTTAATTGGATAGTTGGATCCATTCACATATAATGTTATTATTGATATAGTTGGATATACTTCTACCACTTTCCTTTTTGCTCTTTATATGAATAATGTGCTCTTTCCTATTCCATCCCTCTTTCAATGCTACCTTTTGCATTAAGTGAATATTTCCTGTTTTAACATTTTAATTCTTTTAATGATGCTTTAACTGTATTTTCACGATAGTTATCTTATATAGTTTTATTCTCTTTCATTTTGAAGTTTATTACGTTGATGAATGCACAACTATGCATATGGTTTAAAAACCACTGAACTCTGACTGATCATATGATTTCACTCATTCATATGTGGAATTTAAGAAACAAAAATGATGAATATAGGGGAAGGGAAGAAAAAATAAAATAGGTT